CAAGCTAGCACCCATGGGTGGGGGGGACAGATGCTGGTGCTGGCTTAGGTGTTTCAAGAAGCCCACTCGTGTCCCTGGCTCTACCCCAGGCTGCGAAGGATTTATTAGCCCGGCGTCCTGGGATGCAAGAGGATGCTGTAGTTGTTGAGAAGGGTCCAGGCTGGCTGGATGGAGCGGACTTATTTCGGCCACGGAGCTGCAGTTTTCACCTTTCGTAGCCTGTTTCTACCAACTCTTGTTTCACTGCTCCGATGTTCCTGTGGGTCCAAAATTCCCATTTGTTCCTATTACAGTGGATATCTTGAGTTTCATCATTCCTCTGAGCAGGGATCTTCTTCCAGCTCCCTCCTCCATACCAGATAAAATTTTTAAAAAAGGAAAAAAAAAAGGCAGCAGAGCCACCAGCCCCGCTCCGGGTACATTAACAGCCGATCTGGCAGGTTACGGATCTGCAAAGTCTCGCTTTGAGGAAAGGGGGAGAGGTGCAAGCTTCAATTAATTAAGCCACAGTTTTCTTAACACTTCTCTCTGTTCGTCTCTTATGCTTCGTAGAAACACTCGACAGGCTGCTCCTACGGTTCTGTCGAGCCAGGGATGCCGCTGTGCCGAGCTGTAACCCGCGGGACAGCGAGCTGAGCTCCGAGCTACGCCGGGAAGGGTTACACGATGGCACACAAGGTGCCAGCCGCTTCCTAGGCATCCTGTAAACACAGAGCACATGGGAAGTTTGGAGGATTGAGAGGTTTTGCAAGAGAAATGTTTTGCCTGCTTGGAAGAAGTATTGCCCTTTTAAACTCTAGCTGAGATTTGGTTGAGCTTCTTGCAGCCTGGGAGACTCCTACACCTTGGTTTCTCACCCCCGGCGTTACCCCTGGAGAGCACTGGCAAGGCTGCTCCGGCATGGCACGCCGTGGTGGAAACCTTCCTTAGGGACAGGTGTGGGTGCTGAGTGGGCAAGGGATGGAGAACTGATCCCTTTTGAGTTTGGTCTCGATGCTCCCAGAGGCAAAGGATGATGATGAAGCTCCCTGGGGTATGCAGACCGTTACATCACGCTTGTCTCTCCTAAAAAAATCAGGGCTAAGACTTGGTTTTGCCCTCTCTGTGTCCCGGTCCCTCCTTGCTCTCAGCTCCCTGACCCACTGTCCAGCTTCCTCCAGGCTGGACAGGAGGGTTGGAGGTTTGGGAGGGAGTCGATGGAAGAAGATGGCAAGACTCGAGGCTGGAGGTCCTGCAGATTGCAGTTGGCATCTGATCTCTGAGGTAATTCTGGCTTTTGGATACTCAGCTGACCCCGAGCATCCTTCTGAGTCTCCACTCTGAGATGCGGGAGATGCTGCACCACTTTGGGAACACGGATCTGAGGGTGCTTCTGGCCGCTCTGTCTCGCACCGGCATTCCCAGCAACACAGCTCCTGGGCTTTGTCCTGCACACGTCACTGCTCCCACCCCAGTGACAGGAGCGCTGGACCTTTCAGGGAGCAGAAAAATTGCTGTCGCCTCCTTTTTTTCCCTTGGGATGTGTTTTAGGATATGAATTGGTTTGGGATGATGCTGGAAGGCAGGCGAGGCGGTGGGGAGGTACAAAGCTGTCTTTGCCGTGCCGAGGGAGCACTGGGCAGGAGCTCTGTCCCTGCCAGGAGAAACTAGCCCTGACAGCAGTCCCGTCCTTGGTGCTGTGGGTGTCAGAGAGATGATTTTGGGGGTCTTGAGAAGCGAGTAGCACCAAGATCAGACCTTCTTCTGGACAAGCTACAACGTAGGGCATTACTGGGTGGTGAGGATGAAGGTGTGATGTCCTGCCTGCTGCTAGCTCTGGGGTTGCCTCGGCACTGCTGACAAAACAGGCCAAAAAAAATCACATTTGGAGCTTTGAAAGATGGTTTCCATCTGCTCTTCACTTCCCCTCCCCACCAGAAAGAAAACCAGTGCTTGCTTTTGAGGCTGGGTACAGGCTGGGAGATGGGAGGCTGAGCTGCGGGCAGGCGCAGTGGGAAGGCAGAGCTGCTCCGTGTCCCCTTGTCCAGACCGTGTCTCTTCTCAACCCGCTTTTGAGCAATGCTGAGCAGCTGTAGTGACGACACGTGGTATTTTCACGCCGGGTACTCCCTGCCTTCGAACAAACTCACCTTTGTTTCGGAGTGCATCGGCTCACCTAGATCCTTTTTTTTTTTTTAATTATTTTTTTTGCCCAGATTATCTTCCCCACAGCTGAGGGGAAACCCAATGCTACGGCGAACACTTGTGCTCTGGGAGATGCCTGCTTCAAAGCCTGGTTTGGGGTTTTGGATGTACCAAGGGTGGGGGATGAACACACGGCTCCAGCAGAGAGGAGACACCAGGTTCTGGTCCAGATGACCTTGTATTTCATTTCACTTTCCTTTTTTTTTGGCTGTGTATTTTCTCTTAGATGCTAAATCCAAACCGGGGGAAGCTGCCCTGCCTCTATCTCTGTGTATCGCTGGGACAGGCAGGGTGGAAAACAACGCAGTGGCTTTTTCTATCAGCTTTCCTGGGCTTTGGCGGCTTGATTGCATCTTTAATTGGCTGCTCCATGCTCTGCTGAGTCTCGGTAGAAGCAGACAACATACATAAATCAAACTCGCCAGGTTTCCTTCGGTGATCTGATGGAAATACTGGCTGTTCTCAGGATGGGGGGGGATAACCTTTGAGGCGCTCATGTGTGCTGGTTTCCCTCCTTACCACGATTAGACACGGTCTTTCCAAAGGAGAAATTAAGGGAGAGAGCCCCCCTTGTTGCAAAGTCACCTTTAAAACCCTCTTCTCCAAACATTTGCTTTGAGCACTGCCCTGCTAAATAAACCGTCTCCCCTGCAGTTTCGCTGTGGGAAAAGCAATCTTTACCTGCCAGCTCCCTGCACTTGTGGGTTTGAAGGGATGTGTTTTTCGAACATATTGAGTTGGGAGATGCCCCTTTGCCAGCCCCCCCTGCAAATACGCTCAGATTGAGTTCGGACACCTTACCGAGCGGGTGCTGCAACCGTGAGCACCGCCTGCGGCAACAGCCCACGCACCTTACAACCTGGAGTACCGTTTGCTGGTAAATGAGCAGTAGGAACCCAGCAAGAGTGAATTTGTGGCCCCGAGAGGTGCAGAGGGGGAAGCCGGCTGCTTGGCGGAGGCTGTGAGCAGAGGTTTGCCAGCTCCGGGTAGCCTGCGTGAGAGAAGGGTGCAGAGCATCCCTTCCCTGTACCGCTAGAAATCCTCCGGCCCCAAGCCTAAGGAGAAAACACAAAAGAGCCTGGCATCCTGGAAGCACATCTCCTTGCCATCTCTCCTCTCTCTAATTTCACACTTTCCCCCTTCTCTCCAACCAGGGCCCTTCTCACACCCTTCTTGCACAGAAAGTCCGGACACTCTTATTACCTGTAATTTTGAGACTTATAAATGTGATCAGCAATAGCTGCTGCCTCAAAACAAAGCCTTGTTTGCCTTCTGGGCAGAAACCGTGGCTGCTACCAAAGCAGGGAGCAGATTTGTGCCCCGACCCGGCAGGCGTTCTGGGAATGGGGATGCTCCAGGCTGGAGGGACCACTGCTCCTTTGTGCCGATCTCCCTTCCCCAACCTTCAGCTTCTTTTGTTACAAAGGGGTTTTTGCAAACCGAGAACAAAGGGGGGGGAAAAAAAAAAAAAAACACCCTAACTTTTTTGGTACAATCTCTGATTCTGGAGCTTTGCTGTGGTTTGACTGGTTTCTTTATGCTAGCCCTAGGGCATGGTGTATGTGATGCTGTTGCACCAAATGGCTCCTACTTGGAGAAAATCACGTCACCAAGCGTAAACCGGTGGCCGTACCGTGACCCAGGGCTGAACAGGGGTGTCTGCTGCTGTGTGCACACTGGGCTCAGGGCGTCTGTGGCACATGGGGCTGGATTAAACGCTCTTCAGCTCACCAGCAATCTGGTTTTCAGGATGAGCGTACATGCCGTATCAAAGGAGATGGGATTGCCTATTGCTCTAGAGCCTCGGCCACCCCTTCTCCTGTCAGCTACCGAAGCTAGACGGCTCTGGGATGGTCTCCCAAAAAAGCTCATTTCATCCCCATGTGCTGCTTCAAGGGCTCGAACCACCACAAGACATTTTCCCCTGGGATGGAGAGAGCTGCGACAGGGCTGGCTCTGCTTGGACTGAGCAGATGCGGTTGTACAAGGCTTGGACATCATCTTTTCATGCCCCAATCCTCCTCCTCCTCTGCCCTGTGCTGCGACCGTATTTTGGGTGTCTGCTCTCTGATTGAGCCTGCTTTGTCAGGATGGCCCCGGCTGCTCTAATTTGTTCTCCCTTTCCCCTGCCTCCCCAGGTACGAAAGGCTTGGAGTGCTCACCCTCCACCCCTACCATGAACTCCTACTTCTACAAGTTCATGATCAACTTGCTCAAGCGCTTCAGCAGCGAACGGAAACTCCTGGAGACCAGAGGAGCCTTCATCATCAGGTCAGAGCACCCCACCAGCCTTGCTAAAGCCCCTGAGCAACCCCCAGGCAGGGTGGGATGGGGATGACAGGGTCGAGCAGCCCAAGCACTGAGGTCCCTTGGAGCCAAAACCATTTCTACCAGCCTCCTTGCCTGCCAGCAGACGGTTTCAGAGCAAATGGGCTTTGCCTTTCACATGTAGAGGCACCGTATTTCTCGTTCCCATCCCCAGAGGCAAAATAGCTCCTTATTAAATAGCGTTGTCAGAGCCCATTTCGTTAAGAAACAACTAGACCAGCCGGAGCATGAAGACAGGCTTGCGCTTGAGATGCCAAGTCAAGTGAATCCTTCTACCCAGCTCAGCAAGATGCTCACCCAGCAAAAGCCTCGTCCCCCAAAGCTGTGTGTTTTGATGCATGGAGTCGGTAGGTTTTGCTTCGGCTTTTTTAAGGAGTTGCAGCGGAGGCTGGAAAATCAGGCGTCGTGAAGGCTGGCAGGGCATCATCCTGAACGCAATGAAATCTGGGGCAAGGGACACCAATTCCTTGGCTCACTGGGAAATAATGGGCTTAATGGTCAAAGCGAGGTGGAGAAATCAGTGAGGAGGTTGGTGGGCAGGACCCTGGGTTTTCCTCCCTTGCTTTTGGGGGCGGGGGGGTGGCATCAAAATGCACGTGGGGAGAGCGTGAAACCCAAAGCGTGGTCCTGTGGGAGAAGAGAGCTGCCTCTCCGAAGACGGAGGGATGCATGAGGTACTGATCAGGGCGGTGGGGGGGATCCCCATCACTACGATCAGAAAATAAAGTGTGCAGAGCTCTCAAAATCTGCGAAGCTGAGCCGGGTGTTGAGTTGTACCCGCTTGGGCAGCGGTTTGTGCCCAAGTCTTTGGGAAACCCAAGAGCGCGTCAAAAAGTTGCCGCTGGATTCATCCCGTGAGCAGTGAAAGTCGAGGCGAAGCATGGGAGGTTGCAAAAATGATGAACCGTGGGCAGGGCAGGGTTGCAGCCGCTGTTCGGGCTGCAGGGCAAGGATTTCAGGGGTTTTCCCCCACTTACATTCAATTTTAATGTAAGACATTACCTTCCCCCCCCCTCCCTGGAAAAAAATCTAGGTGAGCATATGGGGGTTTTGGTTCTGATAGAATCTGGAAATGTTGAGTTTAGTCATATGAGGATCTAAGAACAGGGCAGAGACAATATCCCAGCGTAGTGTCCCCTCTCCTCTCCCCGATCAGCACAGCCCCGCGTTTTTGAGCAGCCCTTGCCAGGGGGAGCAGCCCTATTCCTCGTTAAGAGAGCAGGGCAATTAAGGCAATAGGGAGCCTGGGCAGGGTCCCATTTAAAAGCTCTCTCGTATCATGGTCACCTCAAATTTTTCCCTCTGGCTCTGGTAGGATGAGCCTTGGCTGGCAGATCCGGCTTTCCCAGCAGCCAGCCGGCAGCATGGTGGGACCGGCTTGCGGCAGCTCAGCAAGCTGGGGCTTTTTACGGTGACTCACACCCCAAAAAATCCGGTAAAGCAAAAAAAAAATATATATATGACACTGTCCTTTGTCAACGTGACTCACGTGGAGTAGATGCAGGTCTGGAGCCAAACTGGTGGTTCCGGGAGGGGTGAGCCATGCCCTCAGGTACTAGCGATTAACTCTGAAACCTACTGATGGTAGTTGAAGTGCTGGTGTTAACTACGTCTCTGCTGCCTCCAGAAAAAAACAAGATGGGAATAGAGGAGGAAAACTTTTACAGGACTCTCTGGAAAAGATTGATCTTTTTCTGGAGAGACCCAGTGAACGTGGGAGCCTCGTGATGCTATTTTTAACCGCTTTCTAAATTGAAGCCGTATGCGCATTCCCACGTTACAGCCCTCCCCTGTCCCCAAGCCAGCTCAGCTGTTTTGCACAGCGGGATGAGAAACCAACCTCATGTTTGACTTGGGAGATGCTGGTGGTGTTTCATCCTGGGCTGGAGAGCACGAGGGGGAACGCTTGAGAGACCAGGACAGCGTGTGCTAAAGCATGGTCCTCCCCCACTGCTGGCACAAGCCCTTTGCTCCCTTCGTACCCATCATCTTCCTCTCCCCTCCGGGGCCACCGCTGCCCCTTTCTGCTGCCAGCCAGCCCAGGAATGGCGAAATAAGGAAGGAAAATAGAGCTGTTAAGTTTAGGCAATGATTTCCAGCTGAAGGATGAGTGCTCAGGGGAAAGGGAAATGAGGGACAGGGTTTTTATTAAAGCACAGCGCAGCAATTTTCCCCGTCATGTTGCCGGTGGGCAAGTTTGAAGATCCGTGAGGTCAGGTGGAGGATTTACAATTAAAGGTAGTTTATTTTCTAACCCAGGTCAGGCTTATTCATGCCCGGTTGCTGATTCCAAAAGGACTTTAGCCTCTCTTCTGGTATGTCCTCGGAGTCCTGGAGGCAGGGGTTACGGTACGTCGTGTGCTTGAGGACAGGAGTGTGGTTTGAGCAGCGATCTCTGCGGGAGCCCGTGGAGGTGGGAAGGTCTCTTGCTCTGTAGGGATGTGCAGAGCGTCTCCGGTGCCTGCCCGCTGTTGGGAGATGGGTGGGAGAAGCACCTCCAGCCCTCCCAGGTGGGCTCTGTGGTGGGTGGTCTCACCGTCAGTGACCCCAGTCCCAAGCTGGGTATCTCCAAATGAAGAAGCCAGAGAAGACAGGGTAGAGCTAAATGGAAACACAAACGGCCTTCAAAATGGCAGGCAAACAGCTCCAGAACCTGCTGTTGTTCCTAAGGAAGAACCCAGATCACTTCTTCTCCCTTCCCTGGGACCACCGGGCTGGGGGATAACCCGCATGGTCCATCTGCCAGTGCTCCTGGTCCATCCCAGAGATGCCCTTCTTGGTCTACCGCCTTCCCCGGTGGGCTCCAGGTTAAACCGCAATGTAATGCCTCATCCGTGCCAGCACCCAAGGGGACCTCACAGAGGGAGAGCCTACGGCCGCGGCGAAACTCAGATACTGGGCTGAGCCCCGGGAGGAGGAGAAGGGAAGGGAACATCCAGGAAAAGGCTCTTCAAGGCTCTTCAAAGGTGCTTAGATACCTCATGAACACCCAGGCGGAGGGACTTTCTTTGCGCAGGGATGTGCCAAGAGGGCTCCAGTGGTACAAATCACCCAGTCTCACGCTTTCCTCTCCTCTTGAGGAACCAGAGAGGTGGCAAACCTGCTCCCGTGGTCTTTTCCAGGGGGGTTTGGGGTTTTTTTTTTATTTGCCTTGGCATCACTTTTCTGCCTCGCAGCAGACGGGGCTTTTCCTTTGGGGGTCGGGCTCTCTCATTGTCACTTATGACTTTTTTTAGGCTGGACGCCAGTAAAGTTATTCTGCTTTTGAAACTCAGAATTCAAAGCGCTGCCTTCTCCTCTCGAGCCAGGCATGTTTGCTTTCAAAGGTGGCTCCCAAAGGGCTGTCAGAGGCAGGAGCATCAGTGTTACCTCTCACCTTGAGGCACAGATCCGAGACCTTCCAACCTTCTTGCTAATTGGGAGCTATCTGCCCTAGCTGGCACGTGGCCGTCCTGGATTCAACAGAGCCCTTAAGCAAGAAGCAAATATTCACATTCAGCTGCTGGCCTCCCGACGATGACTTGGAGCAGCAGAAAAATGCAGAGGAGCTTCCAAAACATCACATGGCTCCTTGGAGCAGCACGGTCGTCCTCCGGGCAGGGACCGTGCGGAGGGAAAGCTGCTTGGCCGGTCAGGAGGCAGGCAGCGGAGTGACACTGAGATTTTCAACTTGCACTGAGATTTATGGGCTGGATTTAACGCTTGCTTGTTGGTACCGATGCTGAGGGATGAGGGGATTAAGTGGAAGGCTAAACCCTATCCCATGGACATCAGTGTTGCTACTTGGAGCACAGTTTGAGGATAGGGCTTGCTGCCCTTGGAAGGAGCCATCTTCTCACCCCTCGTCCCTCCCCAGGGCCGGGTGTGCAGCCCCCACGCCGTCCCTGGGGTCTGTGTGAGCTCTAGGAGGCAGTTTAGCTCGCTAAGCCGAGCCTAGCACCAAAGCAGCTGGCTTTTTGCTTTCTGAGATAGAGCAACTCAGGCATTTGTGGCTGATGAACCTTACCAGGATGGCAAATGAACCCTCCAGGGTACGGGATGTGCGTGAGTGACTGGAGACATCCCTGTGCGCTTTATGTGCAGATGCTTTGAAGTGCGGGGTTTAACTTTTAAACCGAGGGAGACCATTTTCTCACTGGAGCAGTGGCACCTTGGGGTGGAAGAGGATGCCTGAGTCAGCACTTTGCTCCCCAGGCAGGGGCCTGCACGCAGAGGTTGTCTCAGCTTGTTTTATAGAGCTGTTAAATAAACCTCCCCATGGCTTAGCACCTTCTCACGGGGCATTTTCTGAGGTTAAGCAGTACAGAAGGGGCCCTGGGGCGACTTTTAAGCCACCTCTCCCACAATGCACCCAGCGGGGCTTGTATGTCCGACTGGGAATGGTCCTTTGCTTTTTGGGGGATGCTTGAACCCCATGGAGGGTGGGCTCGTTCTCCATCCGCTCTGGAAGACGTAGGCTGGAGCAGCTAAGGTTATTCGGCCAATTTACAGCATTAGCTGGGGAGCTGGAAAATCCCAAGTCTCGTGACGGGGCTGTGGGTTTATGGTTCCTGCAGATGGGAAAAGTTCACCTGGCTGGAACTCCTGCCTTTTCCTTGAGGTCTCAAAGTCCTGCCAGGATGACGCTAAGGGGAGAGCTGGGTAGAGAAGAGGGCAGAGCTGGGGACAAACACCGGCGCGTCACGTTGGGTGCATGAAGGGCTTTAGAGTGATGCCCTTGACATTGGGCTGGAGTGACTGGTCCCCTCTTTTGGGGCAGGAGGGGACTTTTCTGCCTCTGAGAGAGGCTGGGGCCAACCATACAACACCCCTTTCTCCTGAAAAAGTAGGGAAAAAGAAGCAAAGCGGGCTTGGACCTGCTAACTGGGATGGGGAATCGGAGGCAGGCAGGGGGAAGAGGAGGGCTGGCTTGTCCCACGGAGCCCAGACATCCGATGCTTTTG